CCCCAAAACCCCAAAACCCCAAAACCCCGAATGACAAGGATCTAAGTAAATATTTCTTTAAATACAAATCATATTAAATTTTATGGAAGTCAAATATATTGAAGGATAATAGAAATCAGGAAAGATCATCAAGAATCTGAATTATCAGCTATGAAGAAGGTAAGTCTATTTTGGATTCCGCAAACACCTGGACCATCTCCTTTGGCAGCTATTCTAGCATAACCTTTTTCTCCCCAAGTTTATCCCCAGGAGTTTTTAACTAAATAGTAAGTGATATTGCCCTCGACTCCATATCCTACAACAAGGACTGGGTGAATATGAGAGGTAGTGCAGTCGTCAGCGTCTATGATTCCAGATTGATAGAAAATGAAAGGGATATCAGCGTTAATTTCAGCTAGAACTGGTCCTTCAACAATAGCTTTCATGAGAGCACTTTGGCTATTTGCAGTTGGATACAATGGGGGTTAGTAAATCTTTACTGCTCTCTTATTCTTGTCATAATTGCAGGCATCTCCACTCTTGGCCTGCGTTTGATAGTCTGACTCTTTCTCCATGTCATTTAATTTAAGATAACTAACTACATCGTCAATAGATTATACCGTGCCGCATCCATTACCAGCAGTTTAAGGTACACAATCTATTAATTACTGAGCTGATAATTCAGTCAACTTATCTCTGTACATAACATAATAGGCACTCTCAATGGCTGATGCAGCAGCGTAAGCCCAATTAGCACCACATTAGCCCTAATCCTTAACAGCAGAGACTGCACCTAATTAAACCCAGTTGACTGACTAGGGGATGTCTAGAGGTTTTTCAAGTTTAGGCTGATCTTCTGTATCCGACTTTGCCTAGGTTTTATGATCTGCATACTTGAGTCTAGCGAAGATCTCACCAGGAGTAAAGTCTGCGAAGAAATTTAGTCCCATCTTGTAGTTACTTGACTTGTACATATTAATTAATCTAAGGTTCCTTTTGAAGATCTCCTTTCTAAGGTTGAATTCACTAGTGCTGGTGTAGCTTTTACTGAATTGACTGATATATTCCAGGAATTGATTGTCCTCTGGTGTTGTTGGAATATCAATAACATATGGTCTGAAACTAACTCTCTCTGCATAGGCCTGGTAAGAAATTAGCCCGAGAAGGAGTAAAGTAACTAAGGATCCTGTTTTCAACATATTTATTATAATTAAATAGCATTTTGAGTATAAGAACTCTAATAATAATATATCCTAAAAATATCATTTTTTTTCTTTAATTAAACTGCTAATCATACCTTATGGGGTTTTGGGGT